GTCTTCGGAAAAAGCCAGATTTGACGGGAAAAAAGCTGAATTGGCAGCAGTGATGAACTGAGTATGAATACCAGTAAACTGAGAGAGATTCAGCTGGAATATATGTATGTACATATATTACTTTATTCTGCTGCGTCTTAAAATTATGTTATGTTTTGCTAAAAAAAAAAACTGTCAAAATTGCTTCAGGCTGACTCACTGAATGCCTATGCGCCTGCATGATCGGAGCCCAATCGGAACCCAATCAGAACCCAATCGGAACTCTTCATTTCGCTGCTTGGACTTTTGACGTCAGTCTCTGCGTTATATTCGCCGCGAAGTTCTTCGGTTCTCTTTTACGCCTTTTCTTTAAGGGGGATTAGTCATGGACTGCTGTGACGCCTAATGTTTATGTAATTGTTGCTGTTGTTGCTGACCTTTGCTAAGCTAAAATTCGAACTCGAATTCGAGCTCGAATTGGATTTTGGTGTCGTGGTGCGAAATATTAATTGGCTTTCGGCCAAGCTAAATGAAATTTCTGTCCAGAGCGTTAATCAACGCAAATGAACTGGAAAATGTCAACGAAATGAGCTCATTTCCTTTGTCTGTAGCTGTGTGTGCATGTGTGTGTAACGGTAAAAGTGACCAACATACAGCAAAGTCGACCTCGTAACCATTTAAAGCCTTTGAAGCTCAAGCCGTGAGTACGGGCGCCCACTCGTCCCCCTGGGAGCTACTTGAAATGCGCTCAATTCGTTTTTCGTGCGCATTTATTTACATTGCAGTTTTAGTGGAAGCAATCTGCGGCTTGGCGCTCCCGTAGACTGTGGGTGAGTGGTTTGGGTGGTGGACTGGTTACAGAAAGGCAATAAACTGGTTATGTGCGCCATGACTACGGTCTGCTCCCCGATGAGTCCCCTCTTAAGATTCCTGACACACAAATCTTTGGCCAGGCACGCTAAATATAGCAAAATATAAAAGGAAAAGCTGCACGTTCTGCACTTTTTGCAGCTATAAATAAAGTGAAAACTGCGCCTAGTTAAAAGAGAAAGAGCGATGAAACAAACCATGAAAGATGGAATACTCTTACAGTCCTATCGCAATATAATGGTAGAAATGTATGTGACAACAAAATACATTATTTTTAGCGACTCATCATCATTTTTAATCAACTCTATAATCGATTTGAGGTTGCTATGACAATATTTTGATAAGATATGTCGCCATTGATCCATTTGATAAGAGCGTACAGTTTATGTTATTGAATGTCAGCTGCATTAGCATTCTAGATTAACATTTAAATCTTGAGTAATATTAGAGCTGTCTTAAATTATGTTTTACTTATTATATGATTTATCGACTGTTTTGTTCTTGTCATTCTGATAACAGAAAAGTATTCGAAGTATTGAGCACTTCTGTAAAGTCTCTTTCCAATTAGTTGGCGAAGCTATCGTAGCGCAAAGTTTTCTATTGTCAACTAGCTATTGTGGCCGAGACAGGCAGACTAAATCAACAAATGCGTCTTTTGTGTGTAATAAATAAAAACAACAACAACAACAGCAACAGCAGTAACAGTCGAGGGAAACGCAGCAGTTGCCAATGAATGGATACAACAATAAGTAGTAACTGCGTTAACTAAAAGGCAAGCTCATTGAGAGCGCTCGATGTCAACGACAATGGCAATATCAACAAAAACAACAACAGCAACAACGACAACGACAACAACAACAACAAAAAGAACAATTTCATCAACAACAACGACATTTAGAATGACAATATCCGCCAACAACGCGCACCTCTAACAATAATGATCATAAAAATAATAATATGACAGCTTGTGAAATATAGAACGAGATTGGTACCCAAATAACAGTTATAAAAAATGTGTGCCAAAAGGTGTAAAAGCCATTGAAACCTGACGAACTATTTCCAATTAATAGAAGAGTTTCTGTCTCTTAATAAAAGTATATATAAATATATTTGATCGAGTTATGCCATAAAGCTAAATCTGAATTGTTGCAGATCTAACTTTTTGCTCCGTTTAAATTAATTTGGATTAAAACAGTCAGAGTGTATTCCGCTAATAATATGTTACATCACATTTTGTACATAGTTATTTTTAAAATCAATTTGTAGAACAACGAATATAGAATAAAGTATGACGCTGAGATGCTAAGCCAAATATGTACTTACATTGTGCGCTTTACATGATAGGTAATAGATACCTGTTTCACATATTTGTCTCACCTACTTTGATCCTTCAATCACCACAATTCAATTCATTTATAAATATATGTGTGTCACTTATATATTGTTAATGCTTCGCCATTGACCCTTCAGTTGATTAGCACCTAGTGTTAACAGCTTAAATATTAAATGTGTGAATTACTAGCTGTGGTAACCACAGTCCAACAACAATGATTCGCATTGCTCATGTGCATATATATTTTTATGTTATTATATGTACATAATCCGAGTTCAATGAGTTCAAACGCTAATTGAGTCATCAAATGTGAACGAACATTAAGAAATTATTTACTGGGGTATTCAAATGCGAAGCGTGTGTGGAAATGGAAACAAAG